ATCTGTTTGGATATAGCTGTCCAGTTTGTGAATGTCATTTCCATTGCACTGACGTGCTTTAAACCCTGACTTATCACTAGGCATGTACCAGGGTCCTGGAACTGTCTAAATATCTTGTTTATTATCCTTTCTTTCCTACTGCCTTGTAGAATTTGTGAGTTTGGAATGACATTCTTATTCGATCACATGCTTACCAAGAATTTCTGTATGCATAGAGTTTTCCTTGCTGCCAGTGTTACTACAGAGTATATGGTTAACCCTTTCCAATTCCTTTCTCTGTATATTGACAAATGCTTTCCAATATGCTTTGTTTGATCAAATTTTCTGTTTAGGTGTTAGAATGGGTGATCAGTCATGGCGCCAGGAAAGTTAAACCCAGTCAAGTTGTGTACCAGAATATGTAAAACTTGAAAATACTTTAGGAGATAGTATACTTATTTCCTGAAACACTTGAAAGAAGGACCCAGAAAATGTCTGTGCTGTGACCTGTGTTTGTGAACCATATGGTCTCTGTCTCAACTGTTCAACTCTGTCCTCGTCACAGGAAAGCAGCCAAAGACAATAGCCAAATGAATGGGTGTGGCTGTGTGCCAATAAAACTTTATTTACAATAACAGGCGGTGGTCTGGATTTGGTCCCTGGGCTATATTGTGTGCCAAAGACACTCTGCTCTCTAATGTATAGGTTGAAAAATAGTGCTAGGCTGCCCTAGTATATAGGATGAAAAATAGAATAAAGAGAGAAGAGAAAGCAATAAGGAATCAGCAGAAGTGGAAGAAAGTACAGAGGAGGAAGTGTAGGGAGTGGAAGTATAGTAAAACCTGAACACAGAATGATAAGAGTGGAATTTACAAGAAGCATTGTTGAAATCTGTATTTGATGGGAATCTCTGGTAAGAATGATTTTTGAAGCATTGGAGGCCATAATAGATTTGAGCAAGTAAAATTTTAGGCAGATCAGGAGTATGATGTAAAGTCCTAATATCAGTTGCTTTTCCCAGGCATTCAGGATTCAGGCATTGTGTGCATCTTACATGTGTTCTCACATGTATCTGAGTTTGTATCTACAGCCCTCACTGCTTCTTCCTTGGTATCCTACTGGTAAAAACACAGCTAGTACCATATTTCATGAATATTTTTTATTAATTAGAACATTGGGTCCAGAGGGCTTTTATAGTTGTGCATGATAAAACATACAGGTTCACATTTTGAGAGTTGAGCAGTTTTTCTAAAAATAGCTAGTTTAATTTCATAGTTGATGTATCTAGCAGAAATAACTTTTGTGGTATTTTGGTAGGAGTACAGAAAATTAGGAAACAGATTGGTGGCTTGTGAGTAAAGGCTAATCAGAAATAGGAGCAGTATAGTGTAGATCTTATGAATCATTTCAATCTGGAACTAGATTGTTACAATAAAATAAATATTTCACAATGATGTTTTGACTTCTTAGAAAGTTTCATTTATTTTTCTCTGTACACCTGTTTTTCTTGTTTCTTATGGCATATCTTAAAATATTTGCTTTCTGAAAGTATGTGATAAGGGAGGAAGAAAGTAAACTCTCTAAAAATCAAAATTTTTAAATGAAGTAATATAGGGTTTTTTTTGATTGTCAGAATATTGTGAAATTGTACACTTTTTATAGAATGTTATAAAATGTATACAATTTGACAGTTGAAATTTATATTGTGGAACTCTGTAAAAAATTTCATTATAGGTTAAAAGTGAACTTTTAGCCATTTTAATATATTTATTGCTCACATTTATAAATAAATCAGACTAAAAAGGGTATAAAATCTTAATTATAGGATGAATAATGATGTACTGTAGCAGAATTAAAGGCTGACTTTTGAAATTTAAGATTAATTCAAAATTTGAAATTATAATTTAATCCAAAGACAGTTGATGATGGTTGTTCTAATCCTAATTCACACTAAAATCTTTATTTTAGAAGGTGAAACTAGTTTTCCCTTTAGGGAAAAAGACGATTTAATTGTTACTTCAAAAATATTTTTGACAGTAAGAAATTTACTTTAAATTCTCATTTTTGAAAGGGACCATTTTGTATCCAGTGGGCAGTATTTCTTAAAGAAATCCCACTTACCTCTTCTGATCTTAATTACTTTGTTCTCAGCCTGCCTGTTCTATTTTCCTCATGAACAAATTTAATGCAATAAAATGAGAGTCTTTTTACTTACTGTTCTGTGTTGAATCGTTTCCCTGTTTCTCCTTGTCCACACCCTGAAATTCAGACTTGACTTTTGCATTCTTCCTGAACAGCCTCCCCCTTTTCACCCTTTATTTCTTCCTGGTCCTTGTCATCTTTCCTTCCTGCTCTTTGCTGCTTTGTTAAGTTTTATTTTTCCTAGTGTCACTGTTTTGTGTTCTTCAAACATGATGCTTTCACTCCTTTTATCCATTAAAATAAAACAATTCCTAGTCAATCCTTTTTCAAGACTTAAAAAAAATCCCCACCTTTTTCTAGAAACATGTGGAGAACATTTTAGATGCCTATTTTCAAAGTTTTGATTTAATTTAAAGGTGTAAAAAAACTTAAATTTCAGTAGAAATATTTGTGATATTGTGTCTATTATATATCATGGGGCACACTGTCTCACTATGGCACTGTCAACATCCAACAGATAATTTATAATTAAATGATAGTGTTAACACATGTAGATTATTCAAATAATGCTGTAATTATGATGTCCGTTGTTTGGTTTAGCAAAACAACTGCATTTTGAGTTTTTTCCCCTATCTAATACAAAGAATTATTTAATTTGGCAAATTAAATAATGTTGTAGTGAAAATGTTAATTTGACAATAAATCACAGTTTTAAATGCCAGATGCCCCAGCTTAATGTTGTTCAGAAAGTTTATTGAGAGAATATAAAATGTGGCTTACTGTTCCTGTATGTCAGGCTTCACAGATGAAGTATGGTGCCTGATATTAATCGGGTTAAAGGACCTCCATTGCTTGGAGTGTGTTGTGGATTGTACCTACATTGCTCATGGCTCCCCCTCCCCGCCTCTGCCTGTATTAGCAATCTGCTTTTGTACTTTGACATCCAGGATTTCCCTAGTGAATTTTGTCACAGAAAAAAGAGAATCATCAATATCGCAGTTAAACTTGACTTTCAAAGCTAATAGTATCTCATTTGGGGGCTCAAATTTAATAAATTTTCTTTGATTCTGGGTGAGTTTTTAAACATCAAACAATGAATTGGCCAGGGTGCAGTAAAATATTTAGATCTATTGACTGTTGTTCAGAAGGGTAGAAGGCAAAACACTAGTGGTTTGATGTTGATAAATTCTCAGGACCTTAATCCACATTAATGTTTTCTTTTATCTGAGTGCACACTGGTGACAAAAAAAAAAGGCAAGAGAAAGTGTCCACACATATAAAATAGAAAACATAAAGCAAATATATTTGTAAAATATGATTTATTTTGGTATATTAAGTAAGTTAAAAGCATTCTTCTCCTGACTAAAGACTCTGGAGAATGTTTGTTGCAGATAAATATACATTCTGAATTGAGACTCCAATGTGCATATCGTACTCGCACTATTATAAAAATTGTATTGTAGCGTATGTTTTACAGCACACCCTTTGACATTCAGTTATTGACAGAAATTCTTCAGCTCAGCTTGAGAATGTAAGGGTTTTTATAGCCTCAACTAGCATGAACAATGAAAGATGTCATCGTATGTTTGTATATGTTTGCTGATTTAAGGAAACCTTGTATAGTACGATAGTTCATTCATAAAGTAGGAAATAATTCAAAGTTTTACAAGCTGCCTGAGAAGAACAGAAAAATGAAGGATTGGTTTTCTATCATATATGATTGCCAAGTTACATGTGAAGTTGCTCAAATAAAACTAAAGATATAAATACATTTACTTGAGCAATTAGTGTTACTTTTATAGTTTTCCTCATTCTTAACCTTTGCTACCTCATAAAAAGTCATTTTTTCTTGTGGCTTTAAGCTAATTGTATACTATTTATCAAATATATGGTGTCAAAGAGATAAATTTTTAAAACCTATTCAGGCACAAGGAAAGTTAGAAAATATGAAAATTCCTATCATTAAACTGTATGATTAAAGATTAGAGCTTAGTGATCTTAAAAGGAAACTAAGCTCTGAAATTTTTAAGGCTTTTACTAAGTTTGGATATCAAAAATGAAAATAACTGTTTCTGAGCAGTTTCTTATGTCTATTTATATTATACAGGGAGTATTTTTCATTTGTCCAGAAGGTGGCAGTGTAATATCAACTGCATTGCAAGAGAATTGGTATTTCTCCTGTATCTGTGCTATGTGTATATTGTTACCTTGCCGAATATTTAAAATATAGTACAAATAATACTGATTTTGTCCATTATCTTATTTAAAAGTTGTGTGGCCAAGTTGGTTTATATGTATTTAGTCATTTAAGACTCAAGTTTAGTGAGGGTAAAAAGAGCAAACAAACCTCTTGCCTGGTGTATTTTTAAGTCTTCTTGTGTGTTGAGCATATTTGTTTTTATTCTAGAGTGTATATTGAAGTTTTCTTTTAAAGACTAGTACCTAATAAGTATCTTGTTCAGTATATATCAGTTAATACTAGTTAAATTAAATATGTTATTAAGAAAGTGAGAATAAGTAGGAGATTCCTTATTGTTTATTTTTGATTTTGTGGGGGTTTTTTTTCCTTCTTCCCTGTTTCTTTTGAGGGTGAAACAGTGAAAAAAATAATTCAAAACCTCTTGATCAGAAGAGCTCCAGTGACTCTTCTTCCCTCCCTCATTTCAAGCAGGAGAATGCTTTTTCTTCTTAACATTCTCCCCCAGCACTCTGAATTAGAGATTTATTTGCAACGAAAAATCAATTAGTCCTAAATTTATTCATGGATTTCAGGTCCAGCGATCAATGCAAGTCCACTCAGTGGGCTCAAGGGGACCCAGTTCATCCCAGTTAATGTGTCTGAAGGGGAATTACCATTGATGCTATTTTTTTCCCTTTAGGTCAGAGATCAGATCTCGCTGTCACGGACTGCGGCAAGTAGGAATGACTTCACCCTGCAGCTACCCAGACTGCACCTGGAGACCTTTGCATTGGAGGGGCTCAAGGGCGGGCCAGAGGTTGTAGCATGCCAGGTTAGAGTCTAAATAACATTGTTTGCTACCAAGACATGTAGAAAAATAAATTTCAGTACTGGAGAGAATGAAAACCTCAAAGTATTGTGACTAACTTAAGGGAGATGCAAGTGATTTTTCCTCATTTTTTCTTCTGCCATGTAACTCTATATTTCAGACATAATTGTTTTTTTCTTTAAAGCCTAGAACTAGCCAATTAAATAATCCAGGCAAGTATTTTTTTTACCAAGGAAAAAAACGTGTTTTACAGCTAAGTACAGTATTAAAAGAACATACTTTCCTGGCAGCAGAGGACAATAAGACGCTAGGCTTATCTCTTTATGCTAGTCTCAATTTGTACCTCTTATTGTTTTAAAATAAATCACTTTAGTTAAAGTTGTCAGGAGAGATATTTGACATTTTCAATGTTAATTTCAAAGTATATCCAACATTTCTTAAGTGGTAATTTAATTTCAGTAAATCTAGAAACTAGCTGTACTTTGCATTGAAGAGTATTTTATACTTCAGTGTTTAGTTTTAGTGAACATTGTAATATGTGCCAACTGTATTATTTCATTTATAAAACTCAAAGCACCAAATTGTAAAACCTCAAATAACTTTAAAATAAACTTAGTAAGGATATTTATTTTCAAAAACATACTCATTTTCAGATGGTGTAGCTAGCTTTCTATTCTAGTTTACTGTTATGTTATTGTGCTCATTTTTTTCCTTAGGGTTAAAAATATTTTTTAACTGGAAAAAACAAAATTTAGTATGTACTTTATTCTCCTTTTAATGCCCAATTTCTTTATTAGAAAAATATATCAACATTATGTGAACTATAGGGAGCTTGATATTTCAAAAGAGATTGTCCTTGTTCAATAGCACCTTAGATTTTTCAGTGTATTTAAGAGAAATATCTCTTAAAACTCAACCTATGTTTCACATTTTGAACTTTAAGATAAACTTTTTCATTCTTCAGTTTATGACCCTGTGAAATTTAATTTTGTACAAAATTAATATCAGTACAAGTGGGGCTATGTTAATTTTTCTACATGCTCCATACCCTAATTTAATTTGTTATTAGTACTCAAATTAATGCTTGACAAAGAAAAAATACTTGTTTTTTCATTAGCTTGTCCATCAGTTTATCTAATACATATGTAATTATAAAACTAAGCATAAAACATTTTTATTTTTAGTTATAGGCTAGAATATCTTACCATTATTTATTACAAGATTAAGATGTACATTTAAAATTTGATTATCACTATTTATGAATTCGTTGTAACCACGAGCCCAATATGATTTGAAATTTTTCTAGTGGTTGTAAAGTAATCCTTTACTTGGTTATCTTAATTCAGAATCTAACAGGGCTTAGTACTTGTCATAATTCACAAATAAAGACGTCACCCAGACTCGAGATTTTGATGATTTGGAAAGAGACTGATTCCTAGGAATGCCAGTTTTTGAGGCAAAGCATGAACTCTATAGTTCTGATGTCTGTGGATAGCAAGAAGGAAATGTATAGGCCTGTATTTTAAACTACTGTCTTTTCCAGATTCTAATAAAAATAGTTACGCAGGTTGCCATATACCTAAACACATGGGTGAGTTTTGCATTGACATGCTGTAATATGCATTGTAGTTTAGTAATATATGTTTTGGTTTAGTATTCCATGCAGAGGAGATCACGTGATTTGGGACATAATAAGTGTTTTACATACACACACGTACACATTTGGCAATATGCTGTGGAGTACTTTGAGAAGAAAGGCACTGTATTAATTGAAGATTTTATAATAATACTGTCACTTTAGTGAGCACTTACTAGGTACCAGATATCATACTTAGCTCTTTAAATATATGATCTCAGTTAATTCTCACAATAGGCCTGTCAAATAGATGGCATTATTTCCATTTTACAACTGAAAACCAAAAACTATTGCATGTAATTCTCCTCAGATCAACAGCAAGTAAATGGCAGGGCCCAGAGCCTGGGTTTAAGTCTAGGTGCATTTGACTGCAAAGCCTGAATTGGTAAAATCTGACAGTAAAAATCTAGACACCTATGTTAAATGGGAAGAGTGGAACCTTTGAAATCTATAGTGGAGTTTTTCCTTCCATTTACACAGTATTCATTATACATCTGTGTATTATAGGTCATAGTTTATGCTGTATTGTAGACTAATTTGCAGATAAAAGTTTTTTTTTCCATTTGACAGGCTAATATTATAGAACTCTTTTCACCTCTTTTTGCAGTATATGAATATGTATATTTATACTAAATGTGGCTACGTATTTAGGAATTCAGTATTCATTTAGCTTTGTACTCTCTCTGTACTGATGAACTGGACTATTCAAAGCATGCAAGTCCTTTGATTATGATGAGGAGAGGACGACTACGCAGGATGTGGTAGAGTGGGTGAAATATTTGGCCAAGCTGCACAACTATCATTTAGAATAGAAGGAGCTGAGGTTCTCCTGGACAGCACTGCTTGTCTTTTCCAACGGAGCAAACTTTATTATAGGTAACATCCAGGACGGAAGGCAGGCCAATGAGCACAATTGAAAGGTGACGAGGACGAGTGGATTACTTTATCTCTCTTGACTCAGAAAAGTGCATGCTCAGTTTCCTTATCTGCAAAAACATGTAATGCTACCCATTTCTTGGGCTTGTGGTAAGTTTGATTGAGGCGATGCATGTGGAGAGCACAGTGCCTAGCACAAAGGAAGCAGACTATGCGTGGTGGCTGTCATCGTTAAGGGCATTATGTAAACATGAAATAAGCAACAGTAGCTTGATTTTATTACCTTTATTTAGGAATAGTTCCTTGGGATCTTTATATCGTTCCACTTGGTTTCTTCACTCTTCCTTGATTCTTCACAAGCTTTAAGTAATTTTGATCAAGATCAAGTTTAGCTCCCTATTTACTTTTCCTTGTTACTTGATGTTCCAAGAGGCCATGTCTCCAGCGAAACTCCTTGTCTAAGCTTCTGTGGCAAATTTGGAACTATTATGCCTGGGCTTTTATCTCCCAAATAACAGCATATTAATCTACTACAATACTGGGAAAAAAACCCCACCTAGACTAGATAAGTTAGCGTTAGCTAAAAAGTCCAGTACAGTGTTGAATGCAGAGGACTTTATAAGAAAAAACGTTCTTGCCTGTACTTTTATTAGATAATACCTGTTACTCATTGTCTTGCACTTTGAATTGTGTTTTTTCAATAATTAGGACTTGTAATGCTTTTAATGTCTGGAAAATATTAGTAGGACATCCAGTAAATGTTTGTTTATATCTCCATTCCCATTCAACAGTAAACAACACAGAACAATATCAATAGCTCACATTTATTGAGTGCTTATTCTGTACTAGTTACTGTGCTAAGAACCTTACATTTACTCTCTCATTTAATTCCTGCAACAGCCTTATGAGTAATATGCAGTCTGCTTTTATCCATTTTACAAAGGAAGAAGCTGAAGTTTTTTGAGATAAAGTAAATTGCAAAAGTCCACTTATCTAGTGAATAAGGAAACTGGTTCATTCATCCTTTTAACCGTGCCTTCCTGCCTTTTGAAAACTGTGGCATAGTGTCTGTGTGCATGTGTGTATTTGTGTTTTTCATGGTGGCAGAGACAGAAAAAGAATAAAGATAAGGTCTATTGTAAAATACAATTTCGTTTGTGAGGAAATACTGGAGGGAATAGAAATCCAAAAGAGGTTAAATGGGATAGTTACTTAAACTGTGTATTTCGGCCTCTTCATCTGTAAGATGAAAATAATGAAAGTTTCTAACTCAGTGTTAGTGTGACGATTTAATGGGTTAATACATCTGAAGTGCTTAGAATAGTGACAGGTACGTTGTAAATACTCAGTGTTTATTAGCTCTCCACTAACATGGAAGCTTCATGAAGCCAGGAACCTGCCTTTGTTCACTGCTGCATTCAGAGCTCCGAACCCTGCCTAGCATAGAGGAGGCCCCCAGTATGCACGGGTGAACGAACACTGGATTTCAGACACTACAGGAAGCTGCTGTGCCTGGGTTGTGCGTGCCTTTAGAAGACTTGGTATCGTTTTTTTTTTTTTTTTTCTTCTAGACCCACTTCACTTAAAAGGAAAAGTCCCCCAAGCCATCCCATTAAAGTGTTTAAGGCTTAGTGCATAGTAACTATACCTCTGGAAATGCAGTGTGTTTTATAAATATATGTTTATAAACACTTCATTAGAAAGGCTTCATCATGAAACCATTTATTTATGAAGATTTTAAACAGCAGAGTCTTCGCCGTAAATACCGTAATCCTTTAACCACCCATGACCTCCCATGTCATTACAAAGTCCTTACTTGGTATGGTTGTTTGTTACGTATTATACCCACAGCTTTGGGGATACCATGGTTTCTTACATCTGTATTATTTTCCAGGCATAAAAATTTCTCCCAGCTATTTTGTTGTATTTATAAAGTCAAATCATAAAAAGCTTCTTGAGAAGAATTTTTTTTTAATGTAGAGAAGGAAGAAATAAATATCTGTACCTAATTCTAGTCATTTTAAGTAGAATTATAAACACTCATATACATATCATTTACATATAATTTTACATATAATATATGTATACAAACAATAATTGAATCACACTATTTTGTAAGCATTTTTTTTTAAACCTAAAAACAAATCATGGATGTCTTTCTTGTCAGTAAATACAGACTTACCTCAACATTTTTGATGATTGAGTTATGTTCCACAGCATGGATCTCCTGTAGTCTAATCAGTTTTCTATTGATGGGTGTTTACGTTGTGTCTAATTTGGGGGTTATCGTGAATAAGGTGACAGTGGGTATCCTCTTGTATGAACTTTCGCATTGCTGTCCAATTTTTTTCCTTAGACTGAATTAGTGGACTTGCATCTAAGGTTATGCTCTTTCTAAAGCTTTTGATACATATCCCCTAGTTGTCCCTGAACAGCTAAATGGCTTCTGTTGGCTCTTAATTTCCTTTTAAAAGTATTGGTCTTTATTTTC